ATAACATTTATTGAGTACTTACTATGTGACAGGCATCCTGATGGGTGTTTAGAGACAGTGTCCCCATTTAATCTTTACAACAACTATATGGTGTGGGGTAGGTGCCATGATTATCTCCAATTAACAAGTGAGGAAACCAAGGATGCTTGAAAGACATTGAGTAATTTTCCTGAGGACACACAACTAGGAATATGAGATCCAGGTTCTAAACCCAGACAATGTGATTCCAAAACTGCCCCCTTACCTGCAAGGCTGTCTCTATACTGCACATAGTGGATAAGTGACAGGATTCAAGCTAAAAATCAGGTCCGATTCTTTGGTTCCTTTGTAACATACTGTCTATTCCTCCTGTCTCCTCGATGACTAATTATGGTCAGGTGATTTTTTTACATAACTTTTTTGGTATATATTTGCTCATTTTGCACATTATAGAAAGGTACAAAGGAAAATCTATAATTCAGCCATCTGGAAATAGCTATGCTTATGATTTTGATATTTTCTTTAATTTTTTTCTATGATTGAGAAAAGTAGATATACTCTTTTTGTTCTTTTTTTAATTTAACATGCTGTGTATTAAGTCTGTTTCACCATCTTTAATATTAGTTTCACCATTTTTAACGGTTATATACTATTCTGTTTTACAGATATTTATTTAATTAATCCTCTTTGTTTGGACATCTATACCATTTCTGTTTTTGCTGTTATAAATAGTGCTGAAGTGAATGTCTTTGAACCAAATCTGTTTGCCTTCCTGATTATTTACCCCAGGATAGATTCCCAGTAGAATTAATGAGCAAAAGGTTATGAACAATGTAAAGCACGTTGCCTGCCGCCAGGCTGTCCTCCAGGTGGTTCTGTTTTATACTTCTCCCAGCAGCGTGTAATACTACCAAGTAACTAAATAAATTTTTATTTGTACAAATCATACATTTTAATCTTTACAGCTGGTGTGCAACTAACCTCGGAAACTGCGTGATAATTAACAAGTGCTATTATACAACCAAGTGAGTTACAAAGTAATGTATACCAGTGATGAAAGTTCAGCTCCAAAAGGACCACTGGACTGCATGCTGTGTGTCTATCACCATGTAGAAGGCAAAGTCTAGGGCAGAGTTCCCACCCCCAAGAACCTTATCTTGTTGGGTGGATATACGGGTTGCCAGTGACACAGAGCAGGTATGTAATCAACAAACTATAGTGTGCAGTCCGAATGCGTGCTCATGTCAGAAAGAGGTTGTGTTGCACGTATCAGCTTCTCAAGCCTGTGCCCTGGGAGCTATCGGCTAGCTGCGGGACCGGCCCAACCTCGGGCGTGGCTGGAGCTGCCTGGAACGTGGCTGCTGTGAGCAGTGGTGCCTCCCCTTTCGCCAGTGTACGCACCCGCACCCACAATGGGCGGGAGCATGCATCTCTTTGCCCTGGATTCCTCAGAAAATAAGAATTCAGCAAATGACGAAGTTTTTCTTGAACCCTAAGTGAATTAAACTGACTCTTTCCTTAAAGGACAAGACTTAAGCGTTTTGCAGTCCCTACTGGATTTATGTTTTCAGCAGCTGTAGCGACAGAGCTTTTCTCTGTGTTCTGATCTCCTCTTTCTCCAGGAATTCATACATCCAGTTGCTTCCATTGTTTCAGTAGATGCTTTGAGAGGGAAAAAGGAAACTGACATGGGTTAGGCACACAATTTATGCCAGGCACTGTGCAGAGTGCAGGAGGCATTCTGAAAGCTACCTGGACTTACAGCTTGCTTCATTTATTCCACAGCTTTCTATAAGCACACACTCTGTGTTTGGCACAGGGGATACCGGACACACACGGTCCCTCCCTCACGGGAGCTTAGTATCTGATGCAATTGGCTGCTCTCTCTGTTCTAGCCCTGATCACACCAGCTGGGAAGTGCTGGCTACAATGGCCTGTGAAGCAGGGCTCCTCACGTGGTGAAAGTGCAAGGAGGTGTGTGTGTGGGGCGGTGCTGAACAGGCTTGGCTCCGCACCTATGCAGGTGTGTCCAGGGCTCCTGCAGGGGGAGCCTTGGGGAGGGCCGCCTCTCTCCTCCCGCCCCTAGTACACTCACTGTTTCCTGACCGATTACACTGTCCTTTGCACACTACCCACTTTAGCATCGGACTCTGGGTCTCCCTTACTGTAAATTCTCTGTCCTTCAAAGGTCTTGTTCCTGCCTCTGCTTGCCCTCACCTAGATTCTTTTCCCATCAGTACCTATCAGCATAGCAAAGTGTCAAGAGAGTCACTTTCTAGTACTAGGGTGTGACTGCCTACGAGTGTAACCTCCCAGGTTGCATTTATACTTTGGAAGAGGAGGTCAGTAGTAAACATTAATTTCTAATTGCAGGTTTTTGAGCGGTTGCCTTTCTGAGTGTTCATTGCCTGCAACAGAAACATCTACTCAAAAGATATTTCTCTATCCTGCCACCTAGCTTCTCCTACCCAAATCCTTACAGGCCAGAAAAACAGAGGCCAGTGACCGAGCCACCGAATTCTATTGTTTTGCCTGGGCTAGCTGGAGTATTTGGGGAAGAATTCTAAAACCTGCTCTGGTCTTAGCTCTGCCCTCATCTCTCTACCTGAGCCTCCATTTCCTTTTCTGTAAAATGGAGCTTATTGGATTTGGGGGGAGATGAAAAATGAGCTGAAAAGTCTGCACCAACACAAGGTGACCCCAGACTGCGTGAGAGCCTAGCCTCCTGTCTAAAGGTGAGGTCTGAACAGACTTTCAACTTGCACACTTTGACCTAAACCAGATATGCTTAATTGTATCCTTCTTAAACAGGCGGCTTTTGACAAAGTTAGAGATAGCTCCATTTTCAGTGGCCTGTTTGGCCCAGATGGGTTGAACTCCAGGGATATTAGGTAGTCATATTTATTTATTTTCAAAGAGGTGTTCAGTATTCACCCCATATTTTTGTTTTAATAACTACTACCAAAGCTTCCTCCCCAAGCTGATTTTCTAAACTCTGGAAAGGACTAATTCTAAAAGAGAACGAGGGCAGGGAAGCTTGGAAGGCAGCCAAAGACTCCTTGCTCTCCGCAGCCACACAAGATGGCCCAGGAGAGGCTGACCTGGAGGTGATTCCCATGCTGAGTCCTGGGGACGGCCCTTTCCAGTGTGTGTGTCCCCTGTCCCGGAGGAGGGGATGCTGGGTGCCCCTCCACTAGCAGCTCCAGGTAAACAAAGAATATAGCAGGGGAAACTAACGGGAATTATTGTGAAACATGGTTGGGGATGGGCAGGTTTTAGGATTTTGGTTCCAAACGTTATTTTGCAGACCTAAGGGAAGCTTACTTTTAAAGAACTGACCTGTTTGCTGGCCCCAAATTCCACACTGAGAAAGATTCTGTGATCCCAATGTCAGTTCAGCTCTAAATCATCAAGTGGGATTGAAAGGGGAGATTGGAACTGAATTGGAACCTAAATTTGAATCCCAAATTGGATACTTTCTCTTTTAGACCTTGGGAATATAACTTAACCTCTGGATGTTCTTTGGAACATAGGGATATTAGCATCTTGTTGGGTTGTTTGTGAGGATGGCTAAAACATTTTGGAGCCGGGTAACCTTCCCAGGCTTTCAGGAGAGATTGCAGCCAAAGAGTTTTCAGGGGTGGAAATTTTTTTTTCTTTGGCCACGCCATGTGGCATGCAGGATCTTAGTTCCCTGACCAGGGATCGAACCTGTGTCCCCTGCAGTGGGATCGCGGAGTCCTAACTACTGGACCACCAGGGAATTCCCAGGGATGGAAATTTTAAACTGAAGACAGAATACACACAGGAGCTGTTGGCCTGTGGCAGCCATGCACGTGATGGGACAGCAGCTAAGGATCTCTGGAAGCACTGTAGCTATTTCTCTGTGTCCTGCCGTGCTCTGACCCTTCAGACATCTGGTGATCAATGCTCAGAGAGACTGGAGGGCAGCACTAACTTACTCTGAATTTATTAGGGCTTCTTCCCACCCAGCAGGTTTTCCTCTCCTTGATCTCCAGTCTGTTTCTTTCCTTCTTTCTTCTTTCCTGCTGGAGCAGGACAAGAGCTAAAAGAGCTGAAATTGCTGAACACTGAAAAATGCTGAGATGAGCTTTTTCTCCAAACATTTCATATGAAATTTTTCAAACATGCAGAAAAGTTGGAAGAACTGTATAGTGAACATCCATATAGCTACCACCCAGGTTCTAGCATTAATATTTTGCTATATTAGCTTGCATCATCATTTTTTGATGCATTTCAAATTAAGCTGCATTGCAGACACTAGAACACATCATGGGGTTAGTTTTGAAGTGTTAATTTGATGAAGAATCTGGGTTCTCCAAGAGCTGCCCAGAGCCTTGCTCTGGCTTTCAAAGAACTATAACTGATCCCTTTCCTACCAGTGTGATATTTCTGCTGCTGTACCAGCACGTGCCTCAGGATCCAAGGGAGGCCCTAGGGTTCCTGCCCTGAGTGTCCCCAATGCCAACAGACATACAAGTGAAAAACTTGGAATCACTGTGTACTTACTGACTATATCCTGTTTCTCTCTTTCTCTTTCTTTCTCTCTTTCTTTCTCTTTCTCTCTCTCTCTGTCTCTCTCTCTGTAACTTAGTATATCTTTTAGCATTTTGCCTTGCTGAATACTTTTTTAAATTGTGGTTTTTAGTGGCCAGACCATCCAATAGCAATGACTACTGCAGTGGTTTAGATAAATCTCATACATGCGATGTTGATCAAAAGAACTCAGGCACAAAAGAGAATATACAATGTGATCGTGAACTTCTCTGTGTGTATATTGCAGACTTGAATCATTTTTTAATTCTGTTGGGTGGTATACAGTAATATCGGTATACAGTAATATCTCTACCTCTTAGAACCACCAGATCACTCACGCCTCTTTTTGATCTGTAGGGATGTGTTTGCTGGTAACAAAGCATCCCACTCTTGAGGCCTCCTGCAGCTTGGAGCCCACAGTGCCAGGTGGCGGCCTAATGTGTTCTTTCTCCCACAGAGTCAGGATGGCCGTCCTCTCTAAGGAATATGGTTTCGTGATTCTAACTGGTGCTGCCAGCTTCCTAATGGTAACTCATCTAGCCATCAACGTTTCCAAGGCCCGCAAGAAGTACAAAGTGGAGGTGAGTGGGAACACAGTGGTGCCTCTGTGGGTTCGTCGCGGCAAGAACTTGTTTTCAGTTGTGGAGGGAAAGGTGAGGTGCTAGTGGTCAGCGGTGGCAGTTTCCAGCCTGTTCCTATTAGAAATTCTGCCCCTGTCTGGCAGGAGGAAGCCGAGAAATATGGGGCCCTTCTGGAGAGTCATTTCCATCTTGTTTTACTTTTGTCTCTTCTGTAAAAAGACCAGGTGTGCTTTTGGCTGGAGCTCTTTGCTAGGAAGCCAGTTACTTTCAAAAGGGGGGTTAAATAGGAAATTCCCGGGGTGTCCAGTGGTTAGGACTCTGTGTTTTCACTGCCAAGGGCCCAGGTTCGATCCCTGTTTAGGGAACTAAGATCCCACAAGCTGCACAGCGAGGCCAAAAAAAAAAAAAACGGGGGTTGGAGGGGGTTAAATAGCAGTTGTTTCCTGGTGTGCCACTTTAAAATGATGTCTTCTGGTGATTTTCCTGTTTCCCAAGTAGAAACGAAGCACATGGTGCTGAGTTAGCCTGTGTTTGGACATCAGACATAGGGAGGAGGTCTATCGAATGCTTCCTTTAGCTCTAGCTGATCTAGAAGGGATAATTACTGAAGCTGCCCCTGGTGAGCAATTTTAAATGTCTACTTCTTTTGAGCAATTTCTAATTAGAGCTCCTTTTAAAGTTTTCATGTCTAGTTTGTTATTTTGATGGACACATTAAAACTCTCACACATTCAGTTTCTGTTCCCCCATTAAGGGGAACCTTAAAAGGATGTGGTATTTGCTGACTCTTGGGAAGGAGCTGTTTCCCAATGGCATCCTTGTAATCCATCCCAAAGCCACCAGTGATGGCATAACATCAACAAAAACCCTGAATTTGGCACAAGCTGCCTCTATCCCTTGAATGGCACAGACATATATTCTCGTCACTGGATATGAATAGACACAGATTGAATCTGCCTCTGAGAATGAGACCTCTGTCACCACATGCATGTAAGCAGAAATTGAATGATCACCTTACCAAGGTTATGGCAGAAGATGCTTTGGGATACATTATCTTTAAGGTTGATTTTAACTCTCAACACTGAATGCTACCCTTGACCATTTGATCACAAACACTTTGTTTTAACAGTATCCTACAATGTATAGCACTGACCCTGAAAACGGACACCTCTTCAACTGCATTCAGCGGGCCCACCAGAACACGTGAGTGCTGGCCCTGCCCGGCCCCCAGGACATCTGCAGAGCGGGTGTTTTCTGTACAACACCTCAACCCTTGGTACTCTGTTTGCTGAGTAATAGCAACGATGATGATCATGAATACACATTAAAAGTATCATTAAAAATGTATAAGTGAACAGATTAAATATTAAGCAAAATTAAGAGTTGTTAGGATGGTGGGATTCTAGATAACATTTTCTTTTTTTCTTCCATTTCTTTTATTTTTAATTGAAGTAAAATTGATTTACAATGTTGTTAATTTCTGCTGTACAGCCAGATGATTCACTTATAAATATATATATATTCTTTTTTGATATTCTTTTCCATTATAGTTTATTACAGGATATTGAATATAGTTCCCTGTGCTATACAGTAG